CAAGATGTACATATACCAATGTACATTGATCAAAACTCAGTCAAGAATACCAACAACGGTATAAAGTAAAACGTTATAAATTAGATTATTGACGATAGCAACTTATTTAATGCTAATCCAATGGGCAGTAAAATCTAATTTCCGGTGTTTTGTAACTTGGTGTTAGCTGTACATGTAAACTTTTGAGTCAAGATCATGAATATGGAAAAACAGAATGAAACACAAATCAATAGGTTATTATTATTAATGTTATTTTGTCAAATAACATTAATTTATGGAGATTAAAAGTGTTAGACATTGGTGAGACTCGAAATTCCACAATATTTGTTTAAGATATTAGATTGATGATATATCTATAAAACTACAGTCTGGTTTGATCTACTTTGAATAAATAATCAAAACTATGAACAAAAAACGATCATGTACTGATCATTTGTCCAATAATGTTCATAACTTTTTTTATTTTAGGTATGTGAATCCCTAAGAGTAGAAGTTTATAATATTAATCAGTTTCTCATAATAAAATAAATACAATTGTTAAAAACTGAGTAGCTGAATCACTAAGGCACATTTACTGTTACTACAGTTGATGTTAAACTAACCCAAATATCTAAAAGTTATTAGTAAAAGATCAAGATAAGAAACTCTTGTCTGATGTATTGTCTATCAAAGGAATACATGAATCAACAAATGAAAAATGATGAGTTCGATGCAAGATGGATACAAATTTAGAATATTATTAATGGTTCATTGAAAATATAATGTTTATGGTTTGTCTGTAACTGGTCTATTTATGAATTACCTTATATATATATATATATATATATATATATATATATATATATATATATATATATATATATATATATATATAGTTCGCTTCGGTCATTAAGTGTTAAAAAACTGCATTCTGAAGATGAAGATATTGTAATTTATTAATAGTACTTTTATGGAAAACAGTATACTTCTATGACACAGAAGTTAGTTTAAATGGTTTTGATATTACATAAATATCAAATCATAGATTCGTCTTATCACTAAAACATTTTGCATTGTGAGGTGCTCTTTATAGACCATTAGCCTACATTTTGATATGTTTTTAAATTATTTGCTAAATGTTTAACTACGTTTGGTGATCAGTCTTTCGAACCTGACAGTTTTGTTAGTTTAAAGTATTCTGCGTTCATGCAGCTTACTGAAATTTAAATATGTAGGATTTTGTTAAACTGCACTCATTTATTAAAAAAATAACACTTAACTAATGTTAATACCATAAGATAAAATTAATTCTTATACTAGCTACAAAATTAAGTGTATCCCAATTCCTATAAACACTTTTATTCGGCCATATAAATTGTGTATAAGCTGATAGACCTATACCAGGTTCAGACTGATAACTTTATAACCAATAAATTAAGCACGCAACCACAGCCTAAAATTTTGAACTAAACAAAACATTAGGCAAGAAATATTTAATGAATACATCTTGATTTCTTTCGAAATACCGGTAGCTTTTTTGATTTTAAAATGTAAAAAACCGTATCTAAAACCCTACATAAATAATTTATAAGTGGTGAGGAAATCAATGTCAAATCCTGATAGGTTTCCAATGTCATTATTACATTAGCACTGAAAAACTACTTAAGTTCGGTGAGTGCAGTATTTTGAAATTTATCGCTGAATATCTAATCAAAAACTTTTAGCTTTTCAGCTACAGTGTATAAGTTAATTGGTTAAAAGAGGTGCTAAAACTATGTTGTAAATTATGTAGGAATTTCACACGAACAAAATGTTTGTTTAAAATGTAATTACAAAACTCATGAGGTCCTTATGACCAGTTATCGAAGTATATTAGGAACAAATTGATGGCAGTAAACGAATGAGGTCGTTTGTTTAGGCTAAAGAGAAGTGATAATGATACTATTTGTTCTACTAGACAGTAGGAAGGTCCGAAATGTTAAACGTCTTGACTGCATAATTGAGTAATAAGTGTCTAATCTAATGAACTACGCATTGATTTAATCAACATGGATAATATCATGCAGTCAAAGGGTAACTTACTGAACGTTTGCGATCGCTTTCTGGGTTCCAAAATTTGTGAGTTAGTGGAAACTGTTGGTTAGAAAACGTAAGTTACATTTCTCGAAGTGAATTTATAGTATAAATTCAGTCGCTTTTTATCTCTCTTTAATTACAGAAAAATATATCAACATAAATTCACGTGTTTATTTCTTACGGATATCATTTCATCTTACTTCAAAGTACACTAACATTTTAAAGAATGTATCTGAGACAAATTTTACTTCTGGTTCCATGACGTTATGAAATTCGACAGCATAGGTATTAATTTGATAATGGGCTTCTTAACGAGGTGGTCCTATACATAAAATGCGGTTTTAAAAATAAATTTGAACATAGGTATAAACCACAGTCCCATGATAATATCCTGGCAAGAATGAATTACAAGTTGGGAGAACAGTTCATGTCGAAAAAGATCTAAGAATGTTTACATCCGTGTTTTTTGTCGCTGAGTTAATTTTTACTAACAAGTAAACCAATAAAAATAATTTAATATTCTGCGCAGGTTGTAGTGGCATTGAACCCGAACCAAACGACTTTTGAAACCGACTTATGTTCCACAATTGACACGAAGAGAAAGCCAACTATGGAGAACGCGGTAACATTAATTCAATTCATCGGATCACATGGCTCAGCCTTTCAGACATGGTCATTCTTGTGTAACTTGTCTCTTTTATTCACATTAAATATATTGTTCTATCTCCAGCGTAAATGTGTTCTCCATCATATATTGGTGATGATTACGACAGGAAGAGTCATTGTAGACAATGATGTGACTTCCACGTATGATCTTAGATAGTAACATCATGAGAAATCTACGATTTTAGGATTAGGTCTGTTATTAGAGCAGTACTAAAGTCGGAGTAGACCATAATTCTAAAAGGTAATTGTTCATGATACAACAAATTATTTATTTGGCAAATTTGACTTTTCGGGATAGTCTCAGTCAAGGTAACAACACAACTTATAAAGCTCAGCTCCACCACCCATTAAGACTCGTTACTAAAGATTTCTTAACAAACGAGATAACTGTGGGGTTCATATATTGACAAGGAATGGCTGCGCATAATAACTGATGTACACCGATGGCGCATAACATGAAATTTGAGAGTTAATAATTAGTCTTAGTGATTGGATATTGTATTTTGTATAATTAAGAAATGAGCATCTATTGAGATCAATAAGCAAACAAATGAGTAGATCACCCAAGAAAGGTGAGTAAATCAATGTCATCCGTTAAGCAGAACTAAGTAAATCACGGGATATAACTGTTGTCATAAACCTTGTGAAGGCTCTTTACTCGAACACTACTAGTCGGGTCAGAGCCTATGGCGAACTGTCATCTGCTTTTGCAACCTCAAGTGGCGTCCGTCAAGGCTGTCCACTTTCTCCTTTTTTGTTTAACTTCATCATAGATCTACTGATGGAAATAACGCTCTCATCGACTGACTTCTCGGGTATTGATCTCCTACCAGGAGGTCCACTTATTGACTTAGAATACGCAGATGACATAGTCCTGTTTGGTGAAGACGCTGATGGAATGCAGAGTCTTTTGGTAGCACTGAGCAACAATGCTGGAATGTTTGGGATGCGCTTTTCTCCCTCTAAATGCAAGTTGTTGCTTCAGGACTGGTCTGCATCAACACCTAAACTAAGGATAGGGGGTGAAGTAGTCGAACGCATTGACAACTTCACTTATCTTGGAAGTCTGATCAGCCCTAATGGGTTGGTGTCTGACGAAATCTCAGAACGGATTCGAAAAGCTCGGTTGGCCTTTGCCAACTTACGTCATCTATGGCGAAGGCGAGATATCCGTCTATCAATTAAGGGACGAGTATACTGCGCGGCAGTTCGTTCCGTCCTTCTATACGGCTGCGAAACATGGCCTTTAAGAGTGGAAGATATTCGTAAGTTACTGGTATTTGATCACAGGTGCCTTAGAAACATTGCAGGTATCTGCTGGGATCACCGGGTAAGTAATAGTGAGGTTAGACGTAGGGTATTAGGGAATGATGGTAAATCAGTTGATGAGGTTATGAATCTTCATCGACTGAGATGGTTGGGCCACGTGTTGCGTATGCCTGAACACCGATTACCACGACGCGCAATGCTGACTAGTGCAGGGGATAATTGGAAGAAAGTTAGGGGCGGCCAAACCAAAACGTGGCATCAGTGCTTGAAGTCACTAACTTCTGGGCTGAGCCATGTTGGGAGATTCAGACTGCCTGGTTGGGGTCCGCGTGACTATCGTAACCAATGGTTGGAGACTCTTGGTGACATGGCTCAGAATCGATCACAATGGCGTCGGTGTATACACTCTCTGTCTTCCTTTAAATTAAGAGATTAAAATCGCTTCATATCTGTCTAGGAACTAATTCTTTCTTCCTTTACTATATCCTTATACACAATCTTTCTTCTATATAGTATCACCACTGAATTAACTACTTCTATGAATCCGGTGTTCAAATTGTTGTGCTAATGCGGTATGGCAACTTGGACCGATGCATATACGTGCCTGGTCCTACGTTGCAGCTGACTGACTGACTGACTGTTGTCATTTAAACATTTAAAGAGAGTATTGTCAAGTCAATTTAACTTACTTGGTTTTACCCGTATTTACATGGTTTCATAAATTGATTGAACAATCTATGTTTTAGCGAAGAAATAGAAGTAAAATAAGAATGCATTTAACAGCAGCTAAATGATACCCTTACTATGTTATCAAACGAGGTTTTTAGCTTGTCTGGTAGAGGACAAAATCAACAACACATCATGGTAATGATTTGAAATCAGCCGCAACTTTTGCTTCTGTTTAAACCCCTTCCCTATCATAGAACAAGAAATAATGTTGAATACCAGCAAAATCTAACGAAATAAGATAAATAGCGTCTCAATTCAAAAGGATAAGAAACTTTACTCACCATTTATTGAAAACAGGATCTTCTGCCACATGCGTTAAGTTATCAAGAAAATAAATCATGGGAGCGAAACCATTTAACGTAACAAAACTCCGTGGATTTTTTTCATTACATGTGTAATTGAAATTACAGACTAATGACTGGATATAGTTCAATAATCCCATACTTGACATACTTTGGCTTTGAAAGAAACATGGTGATTTAATGTCAACTGCATGACGCCTTCGAATAATAGCGATAGCAACAACAAATATTAAGACAAAGAGTGACTCAGCTACTATGAGCCAAAAACCCCGACGACGTAGCAAGTAGTCTTTCCATAGTAGTGTACGATAATGTCTCCATAACCGAAATATTCGACTTTTGTTTCCATGAGTTGAAAGTTGCAGATTATGCATATTCAAGAGCAATAAAAATTAATCCCTGATAACTGTATAAAATTTATTTTTCAAAATTCTCGCTCACAGCTGGATGATATTTACTAGAATTTAGAACCAAGTCAGTATGTTTTTGTGTACACAGTTTACACTATGTGACTCGTTTAAAATACCAGTTTTTACTAAAATGATTTGATTTACGACAGATTAGTATAACAGTGCACAACATGTCTAAAAATAAAGCAATAAAAAAATCCGTGAACTTTAATATGAGAGTTTCATAGGTTTTAACATAGGTAATATAACTCAGCAACATTAATGGGAGTTTACAAATATGAAATTTTAGCCAAGGTTTTAGAGAGAAAAAATGATAACTTGATATCAGAACGTGAAGATAATGATTAAAGTTAATCTATTCAGTGTTTTCGCTGATAAGAAGTGAACAAAACTTGATTGCAGCAACTAAATTTCAGACAATTACTTTGAACAATAACTGCACCCTGGAAACTTGAATTAAAGTCTTAGAAGAAGCATTAGATTCTTAAAAACACCTTTACCTTTCATTGATGAATATCATTGAAATTTATAACTTTTGTTCAGTTTCTTACGTCAATTTCTTTGATAAATTTAAAAATACAGGCGGTTTTTGGATTATTTATTCATATTATTTATTTTAACACATAGATATTGATACAAGGAAGCACCAAATACATATGCGCCACACAAATCTCATTTGATTTGTGCAAGGGCTGTGATACTGAACGTGTGCTCAAACAGAAGCAGGCCGTTTTCTTAGAGGATCACACCTAAGCCTTCGACCTAAAGCTCTGATCCACAAGGCAGTGGAGCATCGTTAGGAGATGCAGTCCCATGGTAGCCGGTGAGCAACGATTGGTTCATACTCTATTTGTTCCTTCAGGATACTGGAGCTCATGTACACCATTGGTTTGGAACCAAGGTTTTCCAACTTCCCTAGGTGCAATCTCCATGTCCACTGAACCGGTTGAAGCGCCAGACATTCGCTTTTTGCCCTCTCGATTTCGTAAACAACACCCCCATCGTCGAGAAGGCAGTGAGTAGGACTTCCCTGGCAGAGGCTATATACGTGTGACCATGTAAGAGTATTTCGAGAGGGTGGGCGGACTCTCCGCACTTTCAGCCATACCAGAGCAGTTAGGGGCGGTTTTTGGATTAATTTTATGGTGATATTAGTGTAAATGAACCTTCCTAACTATTAACAAAACACATTTACCACTGCATTATGGAAAAAAATCCAGTGAACCAAATGTAACTAAACTTTGTGAACCAAACAAAGATTAAACTGTAGTTTGATATGCAACAGAGCTTTAAAATTGGGAAAGTATCAGCAAAACTTAAACGACATCTCGAAACGCTTGAATATTAAGCTCAGTGCTTTTATAGTATAATTAGCGACAAGTAGTTACATTTTGTACCAGACCTCTTCTCTTCTAAGCAGTACTGTCACTTAACCGGCTTTGAAATCAAACTATTTTATATTAATATAACATTTAAGCAACAGATCTACCATTATTTAAACAAGGCGTGCAAAATGGACATTTTAATACCCCACTTTTGACACTTATCACGCGTATTATTAACTATAATTTTATCTACTTTGAGACTAACAATCCGATTGAGTTCTTAACCCCTTCGAAACAATAAGCTAAGTTTTATACCGAGTGTCTAGCAAAGGAATACAATGCAACCTACTAACTGAACCGCAAAAAATTATAAATATACTTATATACAAATTTATCAGTTTTTATTCATCCAATCCTATGATATGGCACTTAGACCCTTGGTGAACATTTTGTAGTTTTGAATCATGTGAAAAACGCGGACATATGATTTGAGTCTTGTTTTCATTGAGTAGACCACTTACAGGTTATTAAATCTAGTGCTAAAAAGAGGCTTAGATTACCGACGGATATGACCTAACTGATATTATTTCGGGAAATTATAATCATTTTGTCGTCTTTAGAAAGAACCGACAATTTCCAACATTTTATAACTTTTAGTAATTTTTGTGTTACAGCAGTAAAATCACAACTGCCTGTACAAGGTTATGCTCAAAATTTCATCAGTCTGTTTGCAGTATGCAATTACTTATCATTTTGGCTACCAAGTATATAATTCTAAGAATTAAAGTGACAGAAGTGCCTGCGAGTGAATGAAACCATTATTAAAAGCTTTGAGAGTGCCTGTGATTTGAGAACTTAGTTCCTCAGGACTGGCTTTCGAAAACCATGAAGTGGTCGACGTCAGGCTACAATTTCTGTAGGAATTACTTCGGGAAATTGTAACCTAATATGGAAATTAGATACACTCAGATCACAAAAATTCAAAAAGCCTAACTGTTTTTGTTAACCGTTAATATGTTGTGCCGATGCTTGTCAGCTATGAGTAGTTTTACCTGTGAGTTTAGTTAAAATTTAACTATGCATTCTTGAATTTTCTTGAAATATATAATTCTCACCGTAATAGAATTGAGTGATCAGCAACTTAATGAAGAAAACCATTAGCATTTATTTTAAAAACATTAAGCACCCTATTATTCATATAAGTTGATACCTGATGAGATAAATTTAGGTTCATTTGCTATGTCTGATTTAGACGGAAAAATATAACTCTCGACAGCTGATATTGTGAACTTAAAGATGATTTTAGGATCCTTACAATTTTCGAAACACTCTTACTGCTTATGGTTAAAGACGGCTGTCTGAAAAAGGTAATTGATGGAGCAACTCACGCAAACAAAAATACTAACCGAGTGTCGCGGATAAAACAACAACTGTGTATTTAGTAGTAGAGAAAAACAAACAGTATCTTTCTGAAGAGCGAGCCATCACACTAGTTTTAAGTAAGAATGATTTTAATACTATAGAATGTTAAATTACTGTTCAGTTCTTGAATTTGTTGCATTAAATATATAAATCTTTTGTGATACACTAACGAAATAAATTAGTATGTAGACAAATATGCAAACGTGAGCGAGTAAATCAGAATAACGATAAGCCATAGACGAAGAAATAGGGCCCGAAAATTGACTACGAGGTGCTGATTAACCGAATGAGAGCAAGTCTATTTGTTATATCAACATGATCTGTGAATGTGCAAGTTTTCAGCGACTAATGTACGTGAAAGCGGTTATTGCAGTAATCAGTTCTTTGATGCTCGACCGCTTGGCGGTGTGATCGAGTTAAGATAATCACTCTTTGGTAACTTTTTCTCTGAGAATTACTTTGGGGATTCCTGTAACACCACTATGGTTAAATGGATCTAACATCACAGCTTGGATTATAGAGCATATCGTATTTCTATGGTGTTTGCATGAAATAATGATTCTTTCGCACTCGATGTTTACTCGACTTTGAATTCCAATGACAGTACATTTGGTTGTTAGCATCGTATGAAACTAAAACTTAACTCCAGTCAATACAAGCTTATATTTCACGAGGTATTTATCTAGAAATCTGGAGAGTCTCGTATTCAGAAAATGAATGGAGCAACACGATGAATACAAGTGCATCGAGTGAAAAATAGAATCATTGAGAGAAAATAGCTTCTAGTCAATCAACTTCCAGTCGGACTTCTCACGTTACTGTACTAGATGTAAGTTGTCCTAACGATTCGCATATTTTTGATTAAAATATGTTGAGTGAATCAAATCGTGATCGAAAATCTGATGCACTTCTAATAAGTGCTGATCGTTTTAGTGATCCTTTGTTTTCAAACGAAGGTCATAAGAAAATTGAGTAAAATGTTTTAGAAGAATGAAGTCCTAATTTCATATCAAATGTTATTTGTTTTATTAATGCATCCTTTTTGTGTGATACGTGTTCAATTCGAAACACGATTCCTAGATTAGCTCGATTTTGATTACAGTCTGGATGGCTTCATAGCGAATTTTGTATATCTTCATCACAATGTCATGTCTAATGAATACTCTGGTCAATATGTGGATTGTTTTTTAAACGAAGGCACATCATTTATAACTTGAGAGTATAAAGATCCAACATTGTTTCATGGGAGAGAATAATGTGAGAAGATCAATTGTCCAAATTCAACATAACGGTAATTTCGGTAAACAACCGTCATGGTGATGATTCCTTTCCAATTTTGGTCGTTAATTCTAACACAAGTTAGCATATTCTAGATCATACATAGTCTGTATTCAATACACAGTATGACAGACATTCAGTGAAGATGAGTAGAAGACGTCCAAATGATTATACAAACTTATATCCCAGCTTAGGCTATGGAGTTTGTGGTGTTTCTATGAACTAATGATTCTATGGATCACTAACGTAGATGATCTATATCGAACGATTTGGGCTCTACTCGAGTTAGACGGGAATGGTGTGACTAAGAACTAACTTCTAAGTCAAACCACGCGGTCAGCACGTAACGGTGACTACCTGTTGTCGTATTAAGATACTATTGCTGCTTGAAAGATCGTACAACACAAATGACATTATAACAGAAATATATTGGTTAGAGTGTAGAGAAGCGATAGAGTGATCAACACCGAATAGGCCAGTCTATGGCATAAAATACGATCAACTGACGAGTGTGGGTTGTCCTCGACATTGACGGGGACGTATGAACCGTTCGACATTGAGTGACCCAACTGCCGGGTGACTTGACTAGGGCTCAGTGACATTTAACTGGTCCCACAACTACTTCGTGCTCGATGTGTGCCTGATTTCGAACTCCGAATGCGATGCGTCCGTTTATGCGCATCTGGTTCTACTTGCTGTAAATTGCGAAATTTTGATAATTCATAGATAGTACAATTATTTAATTACATCTATTTATCGCACTGTACCTCTTATCGACTCATAAGTAGTCACAAACAAGGGGTTGTAAGACACACTAACTCAAAAATACACTACTCAACTGATATTTCATTTCTACTCAATCAGCCATTACAGTGACAGATCACTTTTAAAGCTATCATATACATTTTACATCACACTTTTCGCGTTGTTGAATTATGCATGGCACATCACCTTCAACTGTATTCCACGTTTGAAAATTCTAACCGACAGTTCCTGCGTTCCAGTCACGCGGAGCAGGATCGTGGTTGCTCACCGTTGAGGAGTCCCACGCTA